CCCTTTTTTATGATCTCTTTGGGATACAGACCTAGAAGTGGTATTGCTCAGTCAAAGGGTATGCACAATTTTATAGCCCTTTGGGCATAGTTCCAAATTGCTCTCCAGAATGGTTGGATCAGTTCACAACTCCAACAACAATTCATTAGTGTTCCAATTTTTCCACATCTCCGACATTTATCATTTTCCTCCTTTGTCACGTTAGCCAGTCTGATAGGTGTGATGGAGTACCTCAGAGTCATTTTTATTTGCATTTCTCTAATCAATAGTGACTTAGAGCATTTTTTATATGACAATAGATAGCTCTAATTTCTTCCTCTGAAAACTGCCTATTCATATCATTTGACCATTTATCAATTTAAGAATGACTTGTATTCTTATAAATTTGACTCAGTTCTCTATATATTCCCCATGGAGCTTAATAATGTGTAGATAGATTAGAAAAGAAATTCAGATACTTGGGAGGTGAGAAGAATCTTGGAAAGACTTCCTGGGGTTGTGGTACATAAGGATCCCTAAGAAAGGCAAAGATGCTGGATGTAGAGATGAGGATGGAATGTCTTCCATGTCCATGGAGAATCCGCAAAGAGTGGAGGTCAACATGACAATATTGAGAAACACTCATTCTCAGACAATCTGTGAATTAACTTTGGGTCAGATTAGCCTTGTGCAAGCTTCTGTTGATTATTTTTAATTAATTATTATTTTTTATTTATTTAATTTATTTTTAGTTTTCAGCATTCATTTCCATAAGCTTTTCAGTTTAAAATTTTCTCCCCCTCCCTTCCTGCCTCACTCCCCAAAATGGCAAGCAATCTGATATAGGCACTACATATACATTATTATTAAACATATTTTCACATTAGCCTTGTTGTAATGAAGAATTAGAACCAATAGGAGGACCCACAAGAAAGGAAAAACAAAACAAGAAAAAAGAGCAAATAATGTGCTTCGATCTGCATTCAGACTCCATAGTTCTTTTTCTGGATGTGGATAATCATTGTTTTTGACAAAACCATTGAGGGAGTTTGTCAAACTTATAAGGAACAGCATGTTAGGATGGACATTTGAACATCTTACTGAGCTAGTTGATGTGCACAGGCCATGACTCTTTGGAGATGACAGTGATTGGTAGGTTTTGATGGGTAGCTTCAATTTCATAGTTGCTGTTTGATAGGTTCCATAGGAACCAGGACAGTTACCCTTTTTGTGCTTGGGGAAAAACTGCCTTTCCTTCCCACAGGTAGGTTCCATGTTCATATGCATGAATGGTGGCACTTCTAACACAGCCACTTCAGGGGTTACCCCTTAAGTCAGCGCTCCGATCCCTCCTTTATTCCAGCCCTTACCAGAATGACAACAGTGCTAAGAAAAAAAAAATTCTTACATGAAAAAAATGAAACTATAAAATGAAAACTCTTACATTCAGAGGAAGAGGTCATAATTGGGACTAAAACTAGACTTGGAATCCAGAGATCTGGTTGGAAATTTGAGCTCTGCAATATTTAAGCTGAATTATCTTGGGTAAACTTCTTTACCTTTCAGAATCTCAGTGTCCCTGTGGGTAAAATGTCATAGATTTGTTGCAAAGATGAAATGACAAGGCTTTGAAAGGTATTTTGTAACATGTTATGCAAAGTACCCTATTATTATGATTTATTTTTAATAGTATTTTATTTTTTCACAGTTACATGTCAACAATTTTTAGCATTCATTTTTACAAGAATTTGAGTTACAAATTTTCCCCCCTCCCTCTTTCTCCCCTTCCCTTTGGTGGGCAATCTGATATAGGTTATACATGTGCTATTATGTAAAACATATTTCCATATTAGTCACAGTTGTGAAAAAAGAAACATCTGAAAAGGGAAAAAAAAACTCAACAAAGAATGAAGTAAGTGAAAAAATAGGCTTCGATTTGCATTCAGAGTCCATCAATTCTTTATCTAGATATGTATAGCATTTTCCTTCGCGAATCCTTTGTACTTATTTTAGATCATTGTGCTGCTAAGAAGAGCTGAGTCATTCACAGTGGATCAGCACACAATATTGTTGATACTGTGTATGATGTTTTCCTGGTTCTGCTCACTTCACTTTGATCAGTTTGTACAAGTATTTCCAGGTTTTTTCGAAATCTGCCAACTCATCATTTGTTATTGCATAATAGTATTCCATTATATTCATATACTGCAGCTAGTTTAGCCATTCCCTAAATGATGGGCATCCACTCAAGTTCCAATATTTTGCCACCACGAAAAGGGCTGCTATAAATATTTTTGCACATGTAGGTCCTTTTCTCTTTTTTATGATTCTTTTGGGATACAGACCTAGTAGTGGTATTACTGGATCAAAAGGTATGCACAGTTGTATAGTCCTTTCGGCACAGTTCCTAATTGCTCTCCAGAATGGATAGATTAGTTCACAACTCCACCAAGAGTGCATTAGTGTCTGGATTTTACCATGTCCTCTCCAACATTTATGATTTTCCCTTTTCGTCATATTAGCCAATCTGATAGGTGTGAGTTGGTACCTCAAAGTTGTTTTATTTTGCATTTCTCTGATCAGAAGTGATTTAGAGCACTTCTTCATAGATAGCTTTGATTTCTTCATCTGAAAACTGTCTGTTCATGTCCTTTGGCAGTTTCTCAATTGGGAATGGCTTGTATTCTTATAAATTTTACTCAGTTCTCTATATATTTGAGAAATGAGGCCCTCATCAGAGATACTTACCATAAAGATTGTTTCCCAGCTTTCTGATTTCCTTCTATGCTTGGTTGCATCAATTTTGTTTGTGCAAAAGCTTTTTAATTTAATATAATCAAAATTATCTATTTTATATTTGTAATGCTCTCTATCTCTTGTGTGGTCATGAATTCCTCTCCTCCCCATAGATCTGACAGGTAGACTATTCTTTGCTCTTCTAATTTGCTTATGGTGTCACCCTTTATGTCTAAATCATGTACTCAATTTTTACCTTATCTTGGTATATAGTATGAGATGTTGGCCTATACTTAGTTTGTGCCCTGTTGGGCACAGTTTTCCCAGCAGTTTTTCATCAAATAGTAAGTTCTGTCTACTTTCATTTTATGGGAGAGTTCATCCCAATCACATTCAGTTATGATTACTGTGTATGTCCCTGTATCTTATTTTTCCTCCTGTTGATCTTCTCTCTCCTTTCACCCTTTACTTCCTTAACAGTGTTTTGTTTCTGTCTACCACCTCCCCTGGTCTGCCCTCCCTTCTGTCACCACCACCCCCTATCCTTTACTTAATTTCTTCCCCTCATACTTTCCTGTTGGGTAAGATAGACTGTGTATATTATTCCCTCTTAGAGCCAATACTGATTAGAGGAAGGTCCAAGTGATGCCCATCACCCACCTTCCCATCTTTCCCTCCACTGTAAAAGGTTTTTCATGCCTCTTCATGTGAAATAATTTACCGCATTCTATCCCTTCCTTCTGTACCCTTAATTTTTTTTGGTCATTCCTTCAAATTCACCTTGCACCCTTATCTTCTATGTATATTCCTTCTGCCTGTACTATTAGTGGTACAATTTATAAGAATTACAAATATCTTACATGTAATTGGAAAAAAAATTAAAAAGCTACTAAGTGGGGGGGGGAAAGAATCACAAGTATCATCTTCCCATGTAGGGATGTAAACAGCTTAGCTCCATTTCTTTTCCATTTTACCTTGTTAAGCTTCTCTTGATCAAATTTTTTGTTCAACTTTGTTCAATTCTGGTCCTCTTTTTAAAGTTTGAAATCCTTCTATTGCATTGAATGACCATTTTTTCCCCTGAAGTATTATGCTTAATTTTACCAAGTAAGTGATTCTTGGTTGTAGTCCTGGATGCTTTGTCTTCTGGGATATCATGTTCCATGACCTCCAATCCTTTAATGTTGTAGCTGCTGAGTCCTGTGTAATCCTCATTGAATTATTTCTTTCTGTTCACTTGTAGTATTTTTTCCTTGCCCTGATAGTTCTTAAATTTGGTTATAATGTTTCCTGGAGTTTTTATTTTGGTATCTCTTTCCTGAAGTGATTGGTGGATTCTTTGAATGCCTATTTTGCCCTCTGGTTCTAGGAAATTAATGTATCCTAATGAAGAAACTCTCTTTACTAATGTGTGGTGGACCTTTTTCTACTACTTAGAGTCTTAGAAAGTTGTCTGGAGCACTAAAAGTGCTTGGAAAAGTCTTGTGTATTAGGTAGTGTCTGAAACTTACTTTGTATCATCTTACCAGGAATATTGTAAAATTTTTAAAAATGTGGTCAATAGAAGTTAGCTCAGAATATTTTGCCTTTCTAATGGTCAATAGACCATCCAACCTGAGGGCACTCTGAAGTTGTATTCAATTTTTGTCTTTTTATCCCCAGCACCCAACACAGAGCCTGGCAACAAAATTATTGCAGTAGTGAAGCTCTATCCATGTCAGGTTAATGTTAATCTTTGCGAAATCACATTTTACTTACACTAGAAATTTAGCACCTTAAACATGTTTTAAACGATCCCTTTAATACAGAAAGAGAAACACATTTGCCTTGGTGTTCTACTACCTTTATAGCAGAGTGTTGATTTAAGAAATAGTTACATTTAGGAAACCATTCATAATTTAAGGAAGTGGGTTGGACTTATAGTTCATATCTGAAGGTAGGTTTCTATAGTCTGCAATCATCTTTTTTTTTTAAATTATACTATGTTATGGAAATGCTTATTTTATTCCATGAATTAAAAATTTTATTAAAAACTTAGAATGTGGGTATTTCATACATTAAAAGTTTAAAGAGACACTGAGTGGCATTGAGTCTGAACCTCTTATTCTTCACAAGAAGAAACTTAGCCCACAGAGGTGAAATGGCTTTCCTGCCCAAAATGCACAGGGACCTTGGACTCCAAAGTCGATAATTCTTCCCCTTGGACCATACTGCTTTATTTCTGTAGCATGGTGATATTTCAAAACAGCCTGTGAACAAGCTATAATCTATTTTTGGTATTGCAGATTTGCCGCAAACTTAATGGGATTCGAATGACCTGTTGTAAAAGTGCCAAAGACAGGACGTCTATGTCAGTTACCCTGGAGCAATGTGCCATCTTGAGAGATGAACATCAGTTGCACAAGGACTTCTTCATCCGGGCGCTGGATTGTATGAGAAGGTACCATACTGCTATTGTTTTCTGCTTCCTCCTTCTCCACCCCTTCCTCAGCCATTCCTGCCTTCATTATTTCAAATGCATGCCACACTCTGTGATCAAACACTTAGTGTTACTAAGAGGATTTTGATTATTTGCCATTTGTGACATGAAAGACAAAAGAAATTCATGTCTTCTGCTACATGCCTTTAGTCTATAAAAGAACACTCAGCTTCATTTTTTTTAAATGGGGGGATAGGGAGGGAAGAAGGGATCATTCTCATGTTTAATAATAGCCAGGGAACATATATTTCATCTTGATTTATTAAGACATGAGTTGAAAGGTATGTGTGCAGAGAATGTTAGAGCTGGAAGGAGCCTCAGAGATGAGGTCCAGTGCCATCATTTTACAAATGAATCAAGTATGTCATTTTTTGGAGAAGTATTTGCATTGAAAATCATAGAGTCTTAGAATGTCAGTGCAGTGTGGAAACCTTAAGATCATCTGGCTTGATCTCCTCAATTTAAGCAGATGAGGAAGTTGAGTTCCAGTAAGTGACTAGCCCAAGGCATCACAACTAGTTAGTATCAAAATTTTTTGATCACTTGTCCACTAAGTTTTCTTGAGTATCTCAAATAACACCTCCGTACAGCTTAAATAAAGCACAGGCTTCCAAAGGTATGATTAATAATACACCTCCCCTGCAGCGCCTGCCTTCACACTGGTAACCTCCTTCCTTACATTCTTTTCATATCATTCATCAGGAGAATAGAATGACACTTGAAAAAATAAAGAACAGTGTAGCAACACAGATGGTTTAAATGCTGTGCCTAAAGTCATGCTTCTAGATTAATTTCCAAAGTAATTAAATCTAGAGTCAAAGCAGTAATGGAGGAAAAGTGCCTTGTTCACAGTGTCTGTCAGCAAGGACAGAAGTTAATTAAAAAGTTAAACAAACTTGTCTCTGTTACAAAGGATGGATTAGAAGAGTACCCATAATATGGGTGGGCAAGTCTACCCTGCCCCCAGTCTTATACTTCCACATGATACATTAGAGGGGGCTACTGTTTGCCTCGAATGTCATTAACGTCCCAGGTCCCTTTATCCATGCAACAGCTTAGCAACAGCAGCTGACAGTGGTGTGTGCTTTCTTTATGCTGATTGCAGGGTTTTTTTCCCCCTCCACTCATGAGAAATCCCTAAAGTTCCTCAACTTTTGTTATTTCATATCCTTTTTGGCATTTTCATCATTCATTTCTTCATTTTTGGAATAATGTATGTGGATATCAGAGCCCCGACGTGGATATTTTGACTATAAGAAACCCACTAACTTGATGTCAAATATATTCATCCAAGCATTAGATGCAGCATCTTGGTACAGAATTCTTTATCTCTCATTAAAAAATCCTGTATAAGTTTGACAAAATGGGTTTTATAAAATGGAAAAGGAAAACATTTGGATTATGTGGTATACAGTTCAGATAAACCCTTTGGCCTAGCAACAGTTTAAATTAATATGATACGTTATCGGAAAGGTAATATAATCAATGTATAGCTATTGTTTGAGGTTAGGAGTAAATGAAAGTAAATAAAGTATCCATGAGCTTTGTAATATAACTCTAGAAAATATAATGAGGCAGTGTGCTGTAGCAGATAGAGAGAGATGGCCTTAGACATAAGAAGTCCCGAGTTCAAGCTTTGCCTCTGACACATACTTTCTGTTTGACCCTAGGCAGGTCACTTAACTTCTCAATCCTCCCAGCAACTCTCTAAGACTGTAAGTTATAGAAAAGGTGTTTCCCTTATCAGTGAAATTATAAATCCAGCCCCTATCCCTATAACTAGTGAATGAAAGTATGTATTTTCATGTCATACAATTTAAGGAAATGATGTCAATCCTGAACTTCACATGGCATGCCATACTCTCCCAGAATAAAGACAAGTCAGTCATAGCCATAAGTTAGATGGCCAGTTTGTGAGTGTGTTACCTGAGGGTGATAACCATCAACCGTTGAGTAATTTCATGTGTCCCCTCAAAATATCTCAAGAAATTTTGATCTTAAAAGGACCCTCACCAGCTCCTAGGTGTTGAAACTCTCAGTATTTCCCAGAAGTTCCTGTCCTTAATTGAAGAACTACCATACAAGGTCAAGTTGTAATCAACTATCTCTTCAGATTAACCTGAGCTAAGTGGAATTCCTAAGGAAAGCCCAGAATAACCATTTCCCCAGGTGTTCTTTCACAAAGAGCTGGTTTAAATTTGCATCAAAACCCCTGACCCAGAAGTGGGTGGATGAGGCTCTCTGTCCCCAGAGTTGACAATAACCCAAGGAAAGTTCAGCATCTTCAGATGTTCTAGAAATAGTCAAGAGTCTGTTGGTATAGGAAGGAAGATTTTTAAAAACTAGGTACAATATACCCACTTTGAGCTATAGGTGTGACATCTGATAAAGCTCATTTTGCAGTATCTCATGGTCCCACTTAAATACACATTCTGATGTGCAACTGTTTGTGTTCCTTCCTGATACCCAGGAACTCTGGCTTCCTTTTTTGAATCTACTGGGATCTCAGGTTTATAACAAGTCAAATGCCTCATCTCTAGCAGGACCCTCTTATCACGGTCCCTAGAACTGGAATTTCTTTGTGCACTGGAACTAGTGTACATACTGTGATTGTAGGCTGGAGGCACCTTCATTTTTTATTCCCTTTCATGTTCCTTAATTCAAGTTTCACCTTTCTGCACAATCATATCACTTTATCTACATTTCATGCCCCTCTTTGTGTTTCACATGACCAGTTTCAGTATCAGCTCACTAAAACTGAACAAACACACTCACTCCATCTCCATTTTCAACACACTCCATCCAGTTAGCCCCAGGGGTTCCTACTTCACTGACACCATGGATTACTAGCATAAAGAAGTGACAGAAGTTTTCTTTATAACCCAAGGGGAAATTAATCACCCTCTCAATCAATCCCCTTCAAATGTAAGGGACCTCTTCAATTCAGGACACAATATCAAACACCTTTTTGAAGGTGATCATAGTAAACACTTAGGGAAAACAGCATTTTTCTCAGGTGGTCAATTTAATTTATGATATTAAAGCATGATTGCTAAAGCCAGGAAGAATTCAAGGAAATAAAACAACAACAAATAGAAGAACAGAAGTGATAAGAAGGTATGATATATGGGTGAGGTGAATGTCATCTAATTTCTATGTTAGAAAAAGCTACCTCCTCTCTGGAGTTATAAAATGTAACGTCGATATACAAACTCCAGCAGCTTTATTGTTATAATCCTCACTTTTAATGTGAGCATTCATCTTTGACAACCCTTTTCCTATCATGTACTCCGTAATGTCTATAGTGAGGCAGAAACATAACTCACACATCTGGGAATCAGTCCCAGGTTGGTTGCTGATTTTCTTTGTTCTTTTGGGCAAGTCACTTTATTTGCATGGGTCCCAGTTTCCTTCTCTATAAAATGAGGGAGCTGTGCCCTCTTTTAGGTTCTTCCAGCTCCAGTATTCAGTATGTACATGGCACTATGTCCAATAAAACCACATTCATCCAGACCCACTATGTTGGGATTGTCAGAAAGTTAAAATTTGTAAAGAGATTGGGTAAAATTTCCACCTCTCTTTTTTAAGAAGAGGCTTTCAAGCAAATCTCCATCATAAATAAGGGTACACCGAGGAGCCAACTTCAGTAAACCAACCTTTAAAATTGCTTTGTGCAAAGATTTGTGCTGGGAGTGGAACATGCATAATTGCTCCTAGGTGCTCATATACAACTTGAGTGATTCAGGTGTGTGTAGATAAGTAAATCTGAGGTCATTGAAGAATTGAGACACCTAAGGAAGGCTTCTTGGATAAGGTGATACTTGAGATAAGGCTTGAAGGGATTGAAAGATCCTGAGATTCAGACCTGGAAAGACAAATCACCATAGGCAGGAAGAGTGCAATGAGGGCATAATATGAAAAGGCAGGTTTGGGGAAAACTTAATAGTCCAAATTGACTGGAACATAGAGTATGTGGTTAAAATACGAAATTAAGAAAGGCAAAATAAAGACTGAGTAGGGAGAATCTTAAAGGCTTAGCACTTTATATTTAGTTTCCTTAGTAAGTTGGATCCTAGTGGCAATAAAGAGCTGATGAAGGTTTTTAAGAGAAAAAAGATGTTCTAACCTGTATCTTAGGAAAATTATTTTGGCAGCTGTGTGGAAGTTGTATTAGGAAGAGAGACTAGAATCAAGGGATCTGATAAACAGGCTAGTACAACAGTACGAGTGAAATGAAAAAGGCTTTAACTGCGGTGGTAATCATGTGAAAGTGGAAAGAAGGAGACATGTAAATGATGTACAGCTAGAATTACCAAGTAAATGGATATGGAGGTCGAGGGAGATGGGAGAGTGTGGGATGATTTCAAGATAACGAACTGGTGAATGGAAGCATAGTGGTGACCTTAAAGAAAAAAAGGGGTGTTTGGAAGAAACAGTCAGAGGGAAGATGATAAGTTCTATTTTGGACACATTAACAACTGTTGATTTAAATTACCATATGTATGAAGAATAAATCACGGACTTTGAAGGTGTCTAGACTATGTACTTCAACCTCTGCATTTTACAGATGAGAAAACTGAAGCTAAGAAAAATTAAGTAATTTTCAGGAGGATAGCACTAATTAGTGGACAGAACCAAGAGTAGAAATCCAGTCTCTTGTTTTCCATTTGATTGCTCTTCCCTAGTTAACATTGCTTCTTCTATATTTCTTAAAATTATAAATATAAACCATATTTCTTAAAATTATTCAGTAACATAGTTTTCACCCGTTAATGTGGCTATTCAAATTGTTACCAAAATTGTTAGCTTTACCATGGATTTTCATTGCCTGGACATGGTTCTGCTACCTTCTTTACCCTTTAAAATCATCTAAGAACGTTTCTCAAAAAATGGATTTGTAATAGCTTCAAGCTAAGTACTTCATTGTTACCTTTATTCTGCTTAGCTGAAAGTGTAAGTAA